TCAGGTTGAAACAAAGCCGATTAAGCGCTTAAGACCGAATCGGTTGAATGCCTAATTACGTCGTGAACGGCGTTCAAGTAGATTCCTCTCGCCGACAATGCTACGACCTTCCTTTGTCCCTGCTCCTGTCTCTATCTCTCTGGCTATCCGTCTCTTTCTTTACCCTATCTGTCTCCTACGGTTTCACCAAATCCTGCGTCCACCCCGTGTAGAATTTTTCATTAAGCCGAAATTAAATCGACTTGTCGGAAGAAGATTGACGTATCGAATTCTGCACAATCGATGTATCCCGTTGGTCACTTTGGGGCTGCGAAATCAGCAATTAGAGCGCTAGACCGCTCGCATGGACGCATCGCATCGTGAAATGGCTCACTTTGTTTTACGAGACCGTGCACGGGGACCGTGCCATTTCGAATATCATATCTCCATCGTTTCACGCAAAATTGGTCGTCATAATATCAAACAAATATCGCGAAATGGGCGTACCTAGTGCAGATCTAACCTCAAAACTCGTGTACTACGCGACATAGCATCGTTCGATGCAGCGTCCAATTTTAAATTTCCATTTCAACTTTACTAATAACGAATTTCTATTTAACGACAAAATCAATGATTTCCCTGTAATTCTATTCCCTTTCAAAGTATAGCGTAGCATGTGCGAGATTTATTTATTGTAGACGACGATTATGTTTAATTTATTCATATTTTGGGACAGTTGATTTTACCCTGTGGATTACTTATTAACGATTCTGGAATTTCTTTAGTACCTTACTGTGCTTGGATGTGTTAAGTATATTTCAAATTCCTTTGATGTACAATACACCAGCAGAATGATAACATGCATTCGCAGTGCCTGTTGAACTGGATTCTGCAAAGGTCTTATTATTCATAGAATCACTAGTGATACATTTAATTACAGTATGCTCAGTTGAGGGTCATAAACACAAGCACTAGGGACTATGTTTACTATAAAATGAAACTATTGTTGTGAAGGAAACATATATTGTAAAATAAAGTTATGAAAATTATGGAATGAAAGTATGTGTAATAGGACCTTGATTAAACAGCTTAATCGAGAGACAAAGAACTCAACAGTAGGTGAGATGATGGGAAGAATTAGATGAAATCCTATTTCGTGAAATACCCAATTATTTAAACCTGTCTGTCCCCCCTTCTAGATTACATAAATATAGTCCCACTGTAGTATAGTACACACGAAATATTACATCCACTGTAAAAGAAAATAGAAAAGAAAAAGGAAGTATCGATTGTACCTTTGGAGAAATTTCTATCACTGGTACTCACGTTACGAGATTCATTCCATCGGCTTAGGCGACCATTTACCAGTCCGTGGAGCCGCCAAATCCATGTAAACAATCAAGTGAAACCAAAGGAAGTACAGAGTCCGGAGGACAACAACGAGACTAGGGACTCGTGCGTCACAGCTAGGAAGCCCTTTAAGTGCAAACAGGAAGATCCTAAATATGCAGCCCTCATACCCTTTACAGCGCCAGTGCCAGTACATCCTCGCGCCTTGTGAAACGAGATTGCGTCTCGGAAATGTTTCGGAATGTTGGTCGGTCTCCGTTTGCTAAATACATACTATGGACGCCGGAAATGTGGGCATCCGTTTGAGAATACATAGCCGGGCGTTGTTGTACCCACAAGAATGTGTCGCCCCGGAAAGAGATTTATTCATGGAATGATATTTTATGTTCAAAACGATTCGCCTGATCGTCAGCTAAACCTTTCAGTCTACCCTACGAAAATAACCGCGTCATCCGAAACGAAGCCCCAATTTATATGCTAAACATGGCACTCGTAGTCGGAGCATCGGTGTTCCCATCTAATCTTCACCGTTGTATTCGTCGATTGGCGCGAAAACGAATGGAAAATATCCGGCGAACATCGGAAGCTACTTTGAAGCCTGTTTTCTTACCGGCAAGTTATTGATCGGGATTATTTTTGAAGATCGGCGTCTTACTGAAGATCAATGTAAACGTCGAGCTCGCTGAACAGTCCACATAATTTTAGCGAAAATTCAAAGAGCATACTGTTCTCCTCCTCCGCAAAGAAATTCGAGTTTACCGGCTGGAGCTGAAATAATTTTAGATTAAATATTAGCTTAATCCCCGACATACAATTCGGAATATCGTCAAGCACCGTTAAACCACGAATATGCGTATCCCCGAATTTAAACCCATCTTCAACTGTGTTGCACACTCATATTTATATCTCGAAAGTGGATCATGAAATTTATCCCTAGTAGCCCCAAAACTCAACGCCATATCGTTCCACGTTATGCAATAATTTGTCTCCAGCACGCCGCCATATTGAAATAATGGTTCGCCGCTGTTATTCTACTCCGCGCGAAGAGGTTAGGTCTCGATCATCCATCGATGGCACATAAAGTCCGCAGCAAAATCTGCGTACGAACTTGCAACTGACACATCCGACTTCTTTGGCTGATCCAGGGACAAGGAGTCGACAGGGCACGCCTCCAGGCGAGCAGGATCCTTGACAACTGGAACAGGGCCAATCTTAGGAGCGTCGAACTTACGCCGTCGGCAGACTTTCGAAATTATTACCCAGCCGCGTCAGCAGCCATGGTGTTTGTTTCCGTCCCGATGCTGCCTCTCTGTCTCACCCATTTTTCTTCCTTGTCCTCCTTACTCCAGCGCCTGTCACGCCACCTGCCTCCGACTTCGCACCTTCCAGTACCCCGCCGCGCTTCTCCATAACTGGAATTGATGTTCGAGCAATATCGACGAGCGTGTCTACCCGAGGAAATAAAGTATTCCATGATCGATAGCTGCCGAATGGAACGGAACGGGATGTGGAACGGTGTGGGGGAAGTTTCATACGGTTCTTTCGTTACAAGCGAAACACGTGGCGCACGAAGCACCGGCGACACGGAAAGAAAAGCAGAGATCAAGGAAAAAATTGTACACCGGTTATGGTGAATGGACGGGACAGAGCGAATAGATGGTATGGAGTGGTTTTCTGCAAGCCGATTATCTTGGTCGTGATAAGCGGATTCCCGTAAAAACTTCGCCACGGCTGCGCCTCAAATCCGCCATTCTTATAATACGAAGCACGGTTACGACCATTGCTTTCCGATTTCTCGAGCGGTCAGATGATGGGGACTATCAAAAGGGGTGGACCTGCGAATGAAGTAGCCCGGATAAGGTTATGTATTCACGCGAAGAGAAGCGCATTTTGACGGCTTGATGCTTGATTTATTCGAATGACGTGCAGGGGATATAATAACGAAGGAGATTAAGGGATCATCCGTTTAATTAGGTTTATTGTACGTCCCGACACTTGGTAAACGTCCAATAAAATGGAAAACCCGTGCAAGGTAATTCGAAATATTATTGGCTGGCTTTCGTGACACGTCAGAAAAAATGAATAATTGACAAAGCAAGTGTCGTCAAGAGGCTATTCGCTTGACGCATGGAAGGTAATTTCTCACAGACTGTGACACATTGACATCTGCAATTAATAACATAACGGATTTACAAAGTCCAATTTAGATTGTTTATTCGCCGATTTTGTATGTATGTGTATTTAAACTAAATGTAAAAATCGTGTTTCTGTTTGTTTTAACCCGATCCTCGCTAAAATTTTGGAAGCTTTTATATATGATATCGTGCAGGTAAATTGACATATTTCGACAGTTTTTAACACGCTGCTATAAATCTCGTTCCTCTTCCTTTTTCCCTCTTTTTTTTTAATTTTCTCGTTTATTCGTCATCTGTTTTAATCAACGACGAGCAGATATTTCAGTTTTATCCGGTGCGATATAATAATGGAATTATATAGACATGTTTTGTACATTGGGTCATATTCGTTTCATTCAGTTCAAAGCGGTAAAGCTGCAGAAATATCTAATTTTGTTTTTCGAAGTTTTTCAGCCTTCTTGTTTGCAGATACTTATAATAAATCAAAGCAATAATACCTGCCCAATGGTAGTCGCGAATCTTTAGCCTCATTTGAAGATCGAACAATGTTTAATGAGTAACGAGCTGCTGCAATTATCTAATTGCAATCGGGGTTCACTGATTTCACTTAGAGGCCCATTAGAAGGACTGCGTGGTTTCAATTATCGAGCAATTAGATGAAACGAAATTAACCGTTTACCGGTATACTTCACTGCGAGGACTGGCCAAATTAGGAGCGCCCCTATTTCCAGTATTTTATTAGAAAATTTAATTAAACCTCATTCAATTCTGCTGCAAAGTAAGGATCATGAATATCCGCCTGCTTTTCGGAATATTCCTAAAAAAATATTTCCAAATATCGAATTATTAATTAAATGTTCTAGTAATTTCGTAGAATGTGTGGGTTTTATTGACATTTTGTCCAGGAAAATTATTAAATTTACGCTTTCATCGAATTATTTCTAAAATAATATTTGTACAAACCATTATCGGGATATAAAGTTTCAAAGTCGACACCTTTCCAGACTCAGCGTTACCTGGCGTGCACTACGTGTAGGTGGCGCCACTGAGTCTTATATGTACAACATGGCAGCTCTAACAGGATGAGTAGCATATCAACTTTGAATCATTATATCTCGATATTGACCGATGTAAATAACACAAGCGGCTAATAACATTTTGGGAGGCAATTCGTATTTGGTCAGGTTAGGTTATGTTAGATTTTAAGAATCTCGTAAAAAATGTTGTTAGTAATTAAAAAATTTATGTGGTTAGTGAGATCACTTTAAAGGTTCTGTTGAATATCTTCGCGTAACATTTACTTGACATACCTTTCATACCAAGTAAAACATATGGATTGAATATAATTGAATATTCCTTCAGCATCTTTAATTTAGAAAATAAATCGTATTCTCAGGAATATAATTTCTACTCTGTATTTGTTGTTGTATATTAATATAATTATCACACACAACATTGCTGAACGCGTAAGACATTTTATCCACGTTAAATGATTGTTAGTGTGTATTTTAATTTAGACTGTTTCCGTACTTTCAGGTTAAACTACTTGATGTCAGGATTAACGCCAAGCTGGTATCACGCGACGAATATTGCCCTGCACGCTATTGCATGCGTTTTGGTCACAAGGGTGAGCCTAGCTGTGGCATCGCTGCGTCCAGGATTTGCTGCCTTGACAGGCTTGCTGTTTGCTGCTCATCCTGTACACACTGAAGCGGTGAGTAACACTGATGCTTGAAACAGCGACGATAAAGGTGTACAACCACGGAAGCTTTTTTCGTAGACGGAAAACTCGAAATGTTGGGAAGGATTTTGGAAACATCCTTACTTACAAATGCAGACAGAATTTTATAACATACGCTCATACGATACAGATGGATGTACTCCGAAGATGCAAGTCAATATAATTATTTAACTAGGTAAACTGATTGCAAAATATAAAAATGATTTATTTATTTAAAGTGCATAATTTTTGCTAAACAATATTCGTGTGTTGCACCTTTAGAGTTGTTGTAACAACCTTTATGTCATATGATCGGAAATAATTTCATTAAAATACCATTGACCTCGACTACGTGTAACTTGGCATATTTTCCGAAAATTCGAGTTAATTTCGAGGTTCAGGAACACTTGCGGTATTCTAGTTACTAGTGGCTGCTCGTAGTTTGATCATCAAGTATGTTGCGTGCAATAATTTGTAGAGATTAACGCAGGAATTAATCCAGAATCTTCACGTTCGCCTGGTTGCGAATTTATCTTAAGCCGATCAAGGCATAGGAGAGTGATTGGTGGGAAATCTCTTGTACTTCTCGTCATATCGTGCGCACGATGCGCAACAACAATAAACTTCGACGTCAGTGATAATGTTTGCGTACGTAGCCTGCTTCAGCAAGGCACGTAGTAGTGATACCGTACTCGTTATTACCTTCGGTTATCTCCTATTTCACAGCATGCAGGTTTAGGGATTATTATATAATATAGTAATTGAATAAGGATAACCATTCGCACGTGAATACGGTAAACGTTACCAAATATAATATATAATATAAAATACATAAAACATGTTACATTTGTATAGAATATGTATATACGTAAATAACTATGTATTTCATGTAGAAATTCTACAAATTCATATACTAACTTCACCTTCGGAACTAAATTTTCCTTATCGAATACTGCCATAACAAATTTGCCCAGTGTGTATTTACCATTGATTATTCAAGGCAAGAATGGTCACTGGTCACGAGTTCGTTTCCCATTCTCCGTAATGAAGATCTGCATAACAATAATCTTCGTTGCAGTGTTTAAATTTGCATCTTGCAAAGGCCGAGGCATTCAACTGTCGAAGAAAACTTGGAGAAGGTCAACGAACTTTCTTTCTCACCAACGATGAAACAGCGTTGTATTATTCGATCGAAAGCTTCTTACGTAGGATTATTAACGCGAGACTTAGTTGGTGAAATAAGAATTTCGTCTTGCGTATCATACTGATTCCCAGTGCTTGTTTGTGCACTACATGCTTAGAGTTCGTTTGCTGGTCACGCACCGCATCTGGCTATGTCTCACGCGTACAGATGTTGTTAGTGTGACTAACCTCCAATTATCCGTGCTGTTATCGTAGCATGATGCTTGTATTAGGAATCAGGTCAAAGAAGTCACAGAGCTTGCTATCTCTGATCCAGTCCCGTTCTACCGATGTAAAATGAGGTTCGTATTATTTTGGACACATGAACAACTTTGTAGGTCATGTTTCTGTAGTGATATTGAAGCAGTGATAACGACGATGATAGTCAACATTTTCTAAGTAATTTGTTATTAAAAAGATAAAGGTTGAAATTACCCAAGTGGATATCTTCATGTGGATTCATTTAAAAGATACAAGTGGCCCAAATGCACGCGTGAGGAACCTCAAAACAACTGCATGAGTGACCATCTATGTAGACACGAATATAAAATGAATAATCCAGGCCAAACTTTTATACCATCTTCCCCATATTTTACTTCGGGCGATCATCGGTATCTCCTTGAAGTACAACCCCATATTTAATATTTTAGAAATAGCTTGGAAGTTTTGACGTTTTCAATTATCCGCTGAATCGCGCTACTTGAAATTCTTAATCTCTCGTTCATTGCTGCATCAGATTAGCAGTGAAGCGATGTGAAACAAAAATCTGCCGATCCGGCCAGAGGATCAATCGAAAATCTGCATTCCCGAAAGGTAAACGGGGACATATATCTCTAGCATGATTCAATGCTGTCGTCGTGATAGTTCATCGCGGAGGAAGACACAGTGGACAAGCGGGAAATCTCGAAAGCAAACATTCCATTCGATCGCACAAGTGTGGGCTCATCGTTGATAATGCCGCGAGCGATATTTTGCTTTCTATACTGTCCAATCGGAATTACAGCTCTCATCGGTCCCATCCGATTCGCTCGATAAGCTCATCATATTGCTATTCAGCCACTGCTCCGACAACAGACGCGGAATCCCTTTGTTTGCCTTGGCAGGCGTTGTTTACCAAAATCATTAAACCCGGACAGGATTGAATCCTTGATCGGACATCGCCAGGGGTGAGCGTTAATCAAGTTGAACGACGAGCTGCCGAAAAGCCTGGCTTTCCAAAGACATAGTCCTTTGTTCGCGCTTGAACGGCCATTTATCGCGACGTCGAATGGCGTCGAGGTTCTTTGTACGGGTTTCACTACGCCCGAGTCGAGAAGCGTGCGGCCATTTTGCGACTCGCGCGTGTCAGCGACGCGCCATCTCTTTCATCCGAGAGCTGCATGCGTGCGTGCACGCGCGCGCGGACGCCAGTGACGAGACAACGAGACGCATCCCCCTTGTCGAATCAGTTTGCGCGGGCCGTCCGCTGTTTGCCGAAATGATCAAGCGGTGAAAGCACGGCCGGTTTCTGGCTGTCGGATCAAGCCCTCGACCGAGCGCTGAAAGTTAGCGCGTTAATTAAGTACAACAGCACTGAAGCGGCTGTTTCCAGTGTAAACCCTGACGAACAAAGGATGAACCGGTTCGGAAGAGAGACAAGAGTGAGAGGGAGAGGGAGAGAGAGAGAGGAGGCTGTGAAGAGGGTCACCGACCGTCCCTGGACTTCGTCGCGTCGAGGGTACGCGCGAATTCCCACGATCGATCGATTATCACGCCTGTCCGACCCGTTATATGGGTCAACCTTTCCAGTCTTCGCCGCTCCGCGAATTGATTGCTAAAGTACCTGGAAGGAAACTGGCTGGACGTACCGATGCGGAAGCAAGTCTGTTCTATTATACGGGATGTCTGTTAACTAGCGGTACAAGCGTGCAGAAGGTGATTCTACGTCTAAAATTAAGTCGAAAAGAGAGAATAAAGTTTTCCCCTACGAGGCCTCCTTTTCGTGAAAATTGAGCCTGAAGAGTCGTGGGATGCGCACAAATTTAATAGTTTAACCACAAATTTAACCTTGGCTTTATAAATTCTAGTGAAGTTTGTATTTTGTGTTACTCCGTCATTCGATCTACTTAATGTAGACACAAGGATACTTACAGCGTTTTTGAATTCGAAGAGATAACGAAATTCTCGCAAAAATGGAACAAAAACTTTTCTTCTTTCTTTTCGTTTTATTTTTAGGCGCGGTATCAATTCCGGAAAGTACGTTGGTCAGATTAGTACATCTTTCGAGAGTCATATAAAATGAATATAAACCTGCTCTCACCTAGTACTAATTTCATTAGACTTTTGAGGTTCACGGAATTCGACCAAAACTCTCAGTACCTACATTGACGTTTACAATCACAATAATGTCTACTTTAGCATTCCTCCCTTAGTACTACTCCTTTCCCTATTCCTTTGAAGCAACCCTGCCGGTATTATTTCAATCCAATGCAAGTGCCAATTAGACATTTGGGCTCGAAGATAATTTCTGTTTCTTGGTGTGCACAACTGGGAAGATATTCTCCGGTCTGAAGGATATAACAGTGTTCTGAACTACTAAGTGCATATTTCAGTTAAGTATCTGCCTAAGTATCCATCCCAAATAGTTACAACTCAGTTGAATGGTTTCCGGTGATAGTATGCGTCCTTGTTGTTACATATACTTAAACTACTTATCAGATTTATCAGTATGAACAACTTAGCTGATCCATAAATCTAAACAGCGCGGTACAGAAGTTCTGTATGGTCTATACTTTGGTTGTCGTATAGTCGTATAGTCGTAGCTGTTCCGAGTTCTCAACTATTGCTTCTAAGAATTGTTGGATGCGACAAATGTTCCTTTGTGAACCCGTTTCCAACTGCCGTTCCTTCTTGCACGCGTGTGACTCCGATCCTGGATTCGGCGTTGGCCTGATCAGCCGAACCTGTGTTTACCGATTACCATCCAATTGCAGCGAAATTGCATGTTTCGATGAATGTGATTCCACGTGTTGCTCGAGGAGGTAATCACACTGGACAGGTACCAGGATCGTGACGAATTTTAGAGACGGAATTATTTGTTCTATTACGTCCTATTGTTACAAAGAAATAAAAATTCTCAACGTTCGTCGAAATATTCTGCCAGTTTCCGTTACGCTCGCACAAATATCTCAACACATGCACCTTAGCGAGGCAGACATGTTTGGCCAGCAATGGGACGACGTGCGTCCGTGTACCTTGCCTAGTTATACGTTTGCGTAACCGAGGAAAATTAGATTAGAAGGAAACTCGAAATATTTCCCTAATTGCCAGACGTACGTGGCTCTTCAGTCAGCGTTTGTAATCAAAGGCGTATCACTGATTCGTGTCTGACAGAGCATGAGAGGCCGTCCTACTCATGTAAGGGGCCTCCGCCTCAGAAGTTTCGTATTGACGATAAACACTGGCTATTAAAGCCGGCATCGATCGATGTGCTTCCTTTAAGCCCCTTTTCGTTCACAGGAACGTCGAGCTGCTGCCTTTGAATTAGCTTGTTTTCTGCTCTACTAACTCCAGCCGTATCGAAAGTAGCGTCAAATGATGCTCGTTTATGTCACGAAATTTCAACCACTTCCACTTCTCCCACGCTTTGAATCGTCTGAACATTCCATCCACTTCTACGAATATTCGCTACCTTTGACGCAGACTCTGCAATTTTTCATTGTTTGCTCCCTTTTCTGCTCCGCGTTCGTGTCAACGTCAAAACGTGTAATAGTCAGGTGGGTGTATGAAGAAGTTTAATCTGTTAGTTAGTCTGTGTTCGACGATTCCTTGAA